AGTTGTGCTGTTAAAGACAATTAAAATCGTTAATATATTATAAACATTTAATATAAAAAAGCTCTACACATTTTTTTTTTTCTGTAATATACAATAATTTGTTATTGATATTAACTTGATGTGTAGATTAAAAAATTGTAAATAGCATAAAAACTTTTAAGAAAATTAATCAATAGTAAAACCAAAAACAAACTGTAATTTAAAAAGTGCAGAGAAACTTAACTTTGAAAATAAGCAGTTGACATTTAAAATTATTGATAATTTTAAACAGTGATATTTCAAGATACGACTCATAGAACATAAAATATTTTATTTTCTTTGTTGTTTCAGATTTTCATATAACACAATTAATATCGTATTTCAACTGTACCATTTTGTTTTACAATAAGAAAATCTTCTTTCACTCAAACGTTTCATGTAAATTAATGAGTTCAATATTTAATTTCAAAGAAATAAAAGGAATTAAGAATTTTTAATTTTATAAAATAATAATAATAATAAATTTAATAATTAATAATAATTAATTTTTTTCAGTGAAACTAATTCTTTGGTAGAAGAATTTATGTTACTTGCAAATATTTCTGTTGCTTGTTTCATTGTTGAAGCTTTTCCCGAATTTGCTCTTTTGAGACGTCATCCTACTCCTCCAACAGGAAACTTTGAACCTTTAATAAAAGCTGGATTAGCTAAGGTTCTTTGAATTTTTATGTATAAATTAAGACTTTAAACAAATAAATTTTTAATTATTATAATCTAATAATTTTTATAGGGATTTACAATTGAAGTTGACAATGGAAAAAAGTTATCCGAATCTCTTGAAAATTGCATATTGAAAGATAATCCATATTTTAATACTATGATGAGAATGAAAGCAACAAGATGCATGACTCAGGCATTATATTTTTGCAGTGGTACTTTACCTGAAAAAGAGTACTTTCATTATGGATTGGCAGTACCAATTTATACTCATTTTACTTCGCCAATTAGAAGGTTAGTTTTCCATTTTTTTCTCTAAGTAGATCATATGCTATTATTAAATGTATAAAATGTTTTCTATAATATTAAAATAATAATGATAAGGATCATTTAAAAGGATAATAAAATATTTTTTTAACTTCAAAAAAGGAATTTAATATTCTTAAAAGTTATTATAGAGTGTGAGTGAGGAGGAAAAGAAATTATTTTGGGGAATGATAGTATAGGTCATTGTAAGCAAAAAGGTATTATTCTCAGTATTTTTAGAGCTACAGGTGTATGAAAGTTGCAATCAAGTCAGTCAAACTTTACATTGCTTTGACTTACATCCCTATCACTATCAGCATGTCTAATGTCTGTTTCCAAGAGATGCTGCAATGAGACTTGAATTTTGTCTGAGTTATGCAGTAGTTATTACCACTAACTCAGAGAAGCAACACATATTTGGTCAAGTTAAATAGTATATTGAAGTTCAGGATCAATTTTTGAGTGCTTGTTTTGAATGTAACACACATCATTCATTATTATTGTTGCATGTGAGCAACTTTCACACAGCTGTATCTCTGAAATTACTGAGAATAATACACATGTTTATATGAAGTTTTTTGCTAACAATGACCTATACTATTGCTCTCCAAGATGTTTTTTTCATCTCTGACTCACCATGTATATGCTATTTAATTATAATTACCATCTTATAAACTATGAATTAAGAGTTAGAGTAAAATCTGTGTAAGCTGGAATTACCTGGTACTGAATATTTTTTCTGATTTGGCAGATTTTCATTTTGAACAGATATTATTTTAATCATAGAAAATTGCTATGTTCCAAATAATTTTTTCTGTTAGACAGGTTTTCCTTTTATTCAGGTTCTGTTTTGGACAGGCTTTACTGTATATATTTTATAAAACAAAATTTTTTCTAATCTGATTCAAATATCTTTAATTTCAAAATACAAATACATAATAAATTTGAAGTTTTAAAGTTCTGAAATTTTGTAATTCTTATATTGTTTGAAAAAAATAAAATTAATTTAATATTCTTTCTATTTATTATACATTGATTTTAATATATGGAAAAATTCTTTAATCAAATTGTTCTGTTCTTTGATTATTATTTTCAAATATTAAAAAATTATTTAAATTAAACATTAAATTATTAATTTAATTATTTTAATAATAACACAAAAACTAATGATAAATGTTTACAGATATTCAGATATTATTGTTCATCGACTTCTAGCTACTGCATTAGGAGTAGCAACTGCTTATCCAACTTTGATAAATAAAAAAGCATTGCAGGTAGGGAAATTTAAAAGGTATTTTTAATTAATTTTTAATCTGTTAAGGATCAATTTCTAATGAAATACAAAACTTTAAATTGTTTTTTTATAAGACATTTTTTGATAATCTTACATTGAGTGCAATTAAAGTTTATTCCATAAAAATTTATGTGGAATAAAATTAGAGATGTAATAATTAATCATTTGCTAATTGTTAATCCTATTAATTCCACCAATTAATTGTCAAGTGACAATTAGTTCTCCAAATAATTTAATTTTTAATTTAAAAAGTAATAAATATTAAAAAATGATGTTTAAAGAAATATTAGCTTTATTAATAATAATTCAGTTTGACCTCTTTCTGCTCCAAATATTTCAGGATATAAATGAAAAGCTAGTTATGGCAATGTGATTTTAGTACTGGACATTCAGCACTAATTGCATATACAGTAAAGAGTTGTTTACATACTCAAGTAGCATGTAGATTTATATACATGAACAATCAAATAAAATTAAATCCTTTATATATACAAAATAGATTACTATAAAAATTATCTAATCTTTTATTGTATAAAAATACATATGAATCAAAAAAGAAAAAATCTCAAGATAACTGAGCCAAATCAACCATACAAGAAAAACATTATTCACAACAAAATACAAGAACTAATATAGAAAATAAAACTTGTGATTCAGTGTGATGATGGTTTTCTCATGAGATATGAATATATACAATGAAAATGTTCATATAAAATATTATGTATTGCTCAGATTGAAGTTATAATATAAAAAAAAGATGATTTTCATTAAAAATTTCTTATATAGAATCAAATTTACAAATTAAGATTATTAAATATTTGAAATTATTAGAAAAAATTTAAATATTTAAAAATTTACTGCAATACTTAGCTTTAGAAATTAAATAAATCATTGTTTATATCCATTAATTAGAAAAATGATTTACTTTAAAAAGTATTTTATATTTTATTTGTATTTATGTTATAATTTTAATTTTAGTTAATTGTAAAATCACAAAAAATTATGTTTTAATTTACATTATTTTTTTTTAGGAATTATGTAATAATTTAAATTATCGACATAAAAAAGCTCAAGATGCTGGTAGATCATCAGTTACTTTATATATGCATGTAAGTAATTACCTTTTATAAAGGAGTTTTATTTACCTATGACATTTTTTTAAATTTTAAATTTTTATTTATTTATTTTTATTACAAATGGAAATGTCATCTATATGAGGAAAGATTTCCATAAAATTGTTTTTCATTAACATTCTTTCACTTTTATTTTCTTTTGTTTTTAAAATACTTTTCTAATTTTATTATCCTTTCTTTTATATTGTCCTTATATGAAAATCCAGATATGAAATGATAAGAGCATTTAAGCCAAATTATTTTGTTCAGTAATTGTATGCATCAATAATTTTATCTTATTGGAATAAATTTTTTTCCTTTCTTTTTTTAAGCATACTGCAATTTGGAAAACAGATCCTGTAAATTATGATCAGTGCATGTTAATTTTTCAATGGTTTTGCTATTTTCTATTTATGGTTGGTTTATGTCAAATATCTAAAGTTTTTTAAATTATAATAAATGATATTAGCATTGCAGAAATATTTTTTATAAATAATTTTTAATGAAAAATCGACATTTTTTAGTTTAAAATAGTTATTGAAAGTGAAATAATAATTAAAAAATTAATTTAAAAATTTAATTTTATATTATTTTAGTTACTACTTAAAGATAAAAGAATTGAAGAAGATGGTTATATTTTTTCTGTTGGAGAAAATGCCTTAATGATTTTGCTACCAAAATATGGTTTAGAAACAAAATTAAATTTGAAGACTGAATTAAACACATCTATATTTACATATAATGAAGAAGTAAGTTTATTTTTCAATCTCATTAGAGCAAGAAACTCAAATACTGTTGCAAATAATTAAGCAATAATTACAGTTTTTTCAGAAAATATACTTAACAATGATTTTTATATTTTGACAGGAAATGAGTCATACGGCAAATGAAGTTACTTTAAGTATTTTTGATACAGTTACCGTACAAATATATATTGATAGATCAAATATTCAGCATCCTTATATACAAGCTCAACTAGTGAAACCATTTGTAAGTGTATAATAGTTGAATTTCACTAAATTATAAGAAAAAAACTAATTTATAAAAAAATGATATGAACTGAAAATAAAACTATAATTATAATTTCTGATTTTAAAAAATCAGAATTATAATTTTAGTTCATTATAAAATTATTACCTAAAATTAAGGTATAACTTTTTCTAACATTGTTTGAACATTAATGGTTTTGTAATATTAATTAAAATATATAACTTTAACTTCCTAGGATTTAAAGTATGATAATTTTCATGTTAAATATTGGTAAATAATATAAAATAATAAAATGCTTGAAATATTAAATGGTTAAAGTACTGAACTTATAATTAATGATTGATAACAATTTAGTGATATACTGAGTCTGATAGTTATTTAAGTTGCTTTTTATGCTGTTTATCCAGAGAGATAATTATAATCAGAGTTCTGATTACAGTTAAGCAGAGTTTTATAAGTATATTTTAATGTGGGACATGCTAATTCTATAACAACATTATTTGTAATTTCAATAAACTTATTCTAGTATATTAGCTCATTATAATGTGTACAGAGTAGTAATATACAGAGGAATCACTCAATGATTTACTCTCATTGCTCCAGTGGTGAACTCTGAAACTAATGTTCAAGAGAACAGTTAATATGCAGACTCAGAAGAGCATATGAACCAACCATCCATCAAATACACTGGATTTTTGCCACCACCTTGTCTTGATAATTATTTTATTACTTTGTCAGTTTCTTAAAGTTTGTCGTGGATAAAAGAAAGATTTTAATTTGTAATAGAACAGCAAATTAAGATATTGTTCAAAAAGAACAACAGATTTTAATTTAGAAAATGTCATGTGATATTTTTTTCTGGTTTAACACTGGCATGATAATGTATATGCAGCTTTACAGCCCATAAAAGTTAACATTATTGTTAATGGGAGTGACCCCTCTGTATATTACTGTTCTGTGATGTAGTTAATATCTACTAATAAGATCTTTTTCTACTCATTTGTATCTTGCTTGTTTACATCAATGAAATGGAGAATTGATGAATTAATGATACAGAAATTTTATTTATGTCATGAAATTAATTATAGCAGAATATTTCAGTATGAATATCTAATAAATCTATTTTCTACAAATTGGTGTGAATGTAATAGTTTTGAAGAAATATTATTTGTTCACAAAACTGGATTAATATAATGGTGAATTTATTTTTCAGATTGAAGGATTTAGTGTTCCATCAATTGTTGAAGAAGGCCCACCCAAGAAAAAGCGCAAAACAAAATAATTCCATTAAATATTTTATATTTGTTACAAAAACAAAATTATAAAATTTGTTAATATATATATGCATAATAATTATTAAAACTGATATTATATATATTTTTCTTCCTTTCTTGATATGTTTAGTTATTAATACAATAAGAAAGCAGTCAACTTCATTGTTTATTCTGGCTATGAATGTTTGCTTTAATGTTAAATATTAAACAATTTAATTTCTTTTTTTAAAACTGTGATTTCTACTTAAAAATCAAAAAAGGACCACTGATAGTCTAGTGATATAGCACTGAACTATTGACAGGATCAAATCTCAGTGGCAGCAGTTTCTCTGGGTTTGATGTTTATTCAGTCTTCTTTCCAAGGATATTGAGTGAATCTCTAGGAGATAAAGTCAGCACCAGTATGGGACTGGTTACACATTAATTTCTCTGGCCAGGCTATGAACAAGAAGGATTGTATCTCCCTAATGCACCTTGGCAGACTTAGGGGTCTACCTTACCTTTACCTTTAAAAATTAAAAAATTATTTTCAAAAATTGCATCATACATCTTTGCAGATCTATATTTTAAGGATTAACTTAGCATAACAATATACTAAACAAGAAAAATATTTCTCATATGATTTGTGTGAAGACAAAATGATCCTTAAATTTCTTATTTTAGGTATAAAATTGTTTTTAGGATTTTGTTGTTTTCATTATTGTTTTAGTGTACAGAATGGAGAAAACTGTCAAATAACTTTTAGGCAGATTGAATTTAATTTCAACAAATATGATTAAATATTCTATAAAAGAATCTAGTTAGAAACATACAAAATTTATGATAAGAAAATGGAACAATTTAAGAAACAATCATCTCATTCTAATCCATAAAGATGATTTGAAATTGATTGAAAAATATGTACACATTTCATTTTATCCATTAGAAATTAAATTTTTATATTACGTGTTTAATATTTTAAAAAATTTGAAGTGATTAAATTACAATTGACATTATAAATTTTAAATTAATATATTTATAATGATATATAATAAATAAATAAATAAGCAAAAATATGATGGATTTTCAGAAATATTTTAAATATTTTATTTATATCAGAATAATTAGTGATTCAGACAATGATAAATCAGATAATGATAAATTACTTCTTTGTATAGTCCGTAAGACTATATATTTGAATAAATACATAATTAATCAACTCCTCAATTCATTTATTTTTATTAACTATAATATGAATAAAAAGAGAATCCGTTAACATTATTTAAAAATTTTACTGTGGTGGCTTCTGTTCACCTTGAATTCATAACTAATATTTAGAGTTAAATTTAACTCTTGGATTGTCCCTAAGTTTACAATGGCGTTCCGTGACATTTGACGATAGGAAAGCTGTGTTTCTGTAAGAAGCCGACATCCAGAGGCAATCAGTCAATTGCGTGTCAGTGATGGTCTAGGGTTCGTATCGTTTATTCGATAAGCCAGTAAAAACCGTAGACTTTTCTAAATGTATCTTTAATATCGCAATTACATTCCGAATCGCTAGCCACGATATAAGGGCTACAATTAAAAATAAAATAATAAAAACTTACTCGGTGAAATAAAATGTGTGGTGGATGTACTGGTACATACCTGGTATAAAATATTCTTCAATTGTACGAATATACTTTTAAAGAAAATTATAATTAAATATAGCTTTGTAAAGAAACGTACATAAAAATAACATAAAATCGTTACTTTTTAAATCTTAAAACAATGCACTAAGTCAAATAGCTCCCTACGAGTGGCTAATGGATGGAATCGAAGACGCGGTATCGGCACCCTGCGGACTGCCAAATCCCCAGGGTGCCGATACCGGTCAATGTCAAATACCTCTTTTGTAGCATCACCAGTATATCTCAAAGGACGCGACCGTGCTGTTGTAGATTACGTTTCTCACCATAGCTGTAAAAATCTAAATATGTCAAACTTTATAGTCACTTGTTTTCTAACTAATTCGTTTTAGACCCAGGTGTCCACGGAAATTTCCAAAATTTACGACTTTTCGATCACTCTCGTTGAACTAGAAAAATTTGTTTTTATTACATTAATAATACGAATAAATCAGTCTCCACTGTACTCTGCTAGAGACGGTTCGGTTAAGCTTTCGTTTAAGTAAAATTTCGGCTCTTCAGGGTTTTGTTTATGTCCCCAATTCCCTAATCGCTTAATTATTTAACTACTTCTTAAGTAGAAGTAAGTCGAAACCGGTTACTTTGTACTCGAATATTTGTAGTCTCGGGAAAAAGTGGAAAGACAAATTTTTATGACAAACGGATATATAAATCGTAAATGTAAGGAAAATAAGTTCTAGAGCTTTTTCTCTACCTCGCGCATCTCTCTCATTCATTAAATTTAGTTGTAAATGATGCTACCAAAGTAACAGTTAATTTTTTAACGTTATACAAGAATTGTACACGTTTTTTTCTACATCCCCTTAGAGATGGGATTTACGAAATCGTAATATCACTGGTTTAACATTGAAATCCGTGAGTAATATAAAATCGGAGAGCAGAATAAAAATATCAAATATTTTAATGGATTTTTTTAACCCCTGTCAACTATACAGAACTATCGTAAATACATACCAGTAAATTCTTATCGGTTGGGTTAAGTTATAAATCTGCTCGAGATTCACGTAATTGGGCGAGGGCGGCCAAATATCTAGCTGGTGGGCGGGCGGCTAACAGCCCAGAACCGGTCCTGGATAGAATTGGAAGCGTTATACGTGTGTAGCATTCACCCAAGGTCCTAGGCTTCCACCGGCTAAACCGGGTGAGGTTGGTGCTCTGTAAGGCGCATGCGCGAATCTGGCTTTTTGGATGCTGACAATACAGCGCTTCCACTCCGCCACTAATATTCGAATATACAATAGCAATCTTACCTTTTTTTCACGTGTAGTATAGAAATTTGTAATAAGATACATAATGCGGTTATAATAAAATATTGTGCGATTTTTTTCATATAATTAAAATTAATATGTACAGTAGAGCCTCGAAAACTCGGCCTAATGTGGGCCAAAGGTGGCCGAGTTTGTGAAAATGCTGGGTTATCGGGAATGGGGTTAAAAAAAATATAAATAAGTATGAGTGTTTTCTCAGAAAATACTGTACTGTACTTGTATGTATTGTTTACTTGAGAATACAACAGAGAATAAACTGCCCAAATACCCTTAAACAAAGGAAAAGTACGTCTTTTATGAAGGCATAGAGCCTTTACTACATGAAAATGAAAATTAATGAATACACTGTACAGTAATTCACCTGACATAAGACAGACC